TATATATATATATATATATATATATATATATATGATAATTTTAACAGATTGAAGACAATAATTTTTTTATATACAATATTATTAATTGTTATTATTTTTTAATTGCTGATAAATATTTTATATTTATATAAAATAAATATAAATATAAACCTCAAGAAGTGATTTTATTAAATTTATTAAACTCTGTAGATTTTTTTAATAGAATGTTTTTATGATTACTCTTTATGAAGTGATGTTAATAAATTCAGATTTAATTATATCCAATTAATAGAATTAACATAAAGATTTCAATAATAATTTAACAATATTTAAATAATTAAAACTTAAACAAACATATTGAAATATTTTGATTAATTTAATGAAAATTAGAAAAATAAACATATTTTTAATTATTAATTACTACAAATACACATCGTATCGTATTTACATACATATAAGTAAGAAACATTGATTTAAAATAACATCAATTTTTATAAATGAACATAAAGAAAGATCACCAAAATGAGTCATAAAAAATGCATTAACATTATCTACAAGGATACAAAACTATTCGTTATTATTCGTTAGAATCCTCTACTACATTGAAATTCTCAATTTCAGATGCGTGAAACAAGATGGGAAAATCATTACACGATAAGAATTTCCCGCGAACAGAACAATAATCCCCTATCAGACCTACTTTTCACTTACACAGTATAATTTTGGTATAATTTTATATTTGTTAAAGGTTGAGACAACAAAAAGTAAAATGAAATATGCACTGTAAATATCTTTTATCATCTACCGCGAAATAGTCTTCTCTTATATATAAAATATTCACGCTCTTAATTTCATTGATACATTTCACATATAACATCATGTCGTTCTATGGTCTTATAGTATCGCAATTTCTTATTTTAAATTTTCTTTTGGCAAAAACAACTTATGTATCAAATCGTATTACAACCGTAAGTTTAATATATTCTTATATCTTTGCAATTTTCATTTATATTTTTTAACATTTTTCATATTTTTTTTAATTATTATTTAGAATAATAAATTCAATATTTATTATATTTTATAAGATAGATATATATTTAATCGTAAGACTTGCAGTTCTATAGAAAAAATTTTAAAAAAGTAAATTAAATTAAAATAATGAATATAGACTGTTATTTTTATTGAACAGCCAGAATTGATAAAAAGCCATGGGTATCAGGTGGAAATTCATAATGTCGTGACAGAAGATGGTTATATTCTGGAAATTCATAGACTTCCATACGGACGTACCAATGATCAAAGGAATTTTAACAACGGGAAACAGCCAGTTTTAATTCAGCATGGATTAGTGGGCAGTTCTGCGGATTGGATCCTTATGGGACCAGGAAGATCATTACGTAATTTTAATTAATATAGTTTCGTATATTAATTTAATATTAATTTTAATGTGATATTAAAGAATAATATATTTTTAAAAAAAATCAGATTTTGACATTATTTTTTAACAAAAATTTAAAGTTTAAAATTTTTTTCTTTTATATGTATACACATAATCGAATTGATACGAGTATTACGACATTTTTTTCCAATATAAATTTGTTATAAGATATTTCGAAAAATTATATTTGTTCTGTAATTCCAAATATTCCAATTAATTGCAATTTATTGCAATTTTATAAGATCTTGTAGAAAAAATAAATAAAATAAAAAATCATAAAAGATCGATTCTATGTGTTAAGACAAAATAAGAATAACGTAACGTAATTGAATTGTATAATTTAATGACTTATGTAATTTTTTCTTTCTTCTTGATAATTTGAAATGCAAGTAGAAATTTTTTGTGTTAAGTTTAGTTTGGAAAGTTATTAGAAAATTTATAAAAATTTACGTATCTTATAAACATAAGAAATCACATTAATAAGAGGAATTAATAAATATAATTTTAATTAATTCGATTATTAATATTAATATGAAATATTAAATCTTTTATATATAAATTATATATAAATTATGATTTTATATTAACTTAATGATAATAATAAAAAATAAATCGTACATTAATAATAAACATATAAAATTAACTGTAATTAAAAAAGTAAAATAATAAATATATAAAATAATAAAGAGATAATTTTTAAAGAAATTCAAATTTTATATAGATATACGTATCTATATCATAATCTGAACACAATATCAAAATATATTTCACATAACTATTTTCTAATTTTCTTTCTAATTACATTTTAAAACTTCGTATATAACAATTACGTTTAATTAATTTTTCCATGTATATTCTTTCTACGTTTTTCTTTTTGCACCATTGTTGTATAATCATGAAAGTTATTACTAAATTCGTACTTTTTAGTTTATCTTACGATGTCATCTTTAGTTGTAAAAACTGGTTAAAAAATTACATCCCTGACATAAATAAAGTTTAAGTACATTGTAATTATTTCGATGTTTTATCGCGACTATACGCAATCTTGATCGTTTTCAAACCTCGATATTTCTGGCATTTTTATAAATTCTGTAAAAAATAAAAAAAAAATTTTTTTAAATATTTCATTCACAACGATAACGATTAAAATATAAAATTCTGATAAATTCTTCAGCTATAAGATTAATTTAAAAAGAAATTATAACTGACATTTTTCAATTCTAAATAAAAAATTCGATCTCTATTTTTAAAATAAATTACAATTCAATGTAATTTATATGGAATGCATGTTTCCAGCATACATGTTAGTAGATGCGGGATACGATGTATGGCTTGGAAATAACAGAGGAAACGTTTATTCAAAAAGTCATATTTCGTTGTTGCCAACCGACCGACATTTTTGGAATTTTAGGTATACGAGGCAAAATTTTAATTCCTTTTTTTTTTTTCTTTTTTTATCCTGTTTTACTCATTAATGTATTCGGTATCTTTTTTTTTTCTTTTTCTTTTTTATTTCAGTTACCACGAACTCGGTATGTACGATGTTCCGGCAACGATCGATTACATAATCAATCAAACGAATTGTGAACAAATTTTTTATATCGGTCATTCCCAAGGAACTACCCAATTTTGGGTGACAATGTCCCAAAAACCAGATTACAACGCAAAAATTAAGCTAATGATTAGCCTTGCGCCTGTAGCCTTTACCGGCAATTTACGCGGACCGATTATAATACTTGTTAAATTATTATACTTGACCGTGGTAAGTTGTTCAAAAATTTTATTCTTTTAGATATTTAATATCGAAGAATGATTTGTATTAGTTTTACATAAAATATGGCATGGTTCTTTTCCTTTGAAAAATGTAAAGATAAATTAAAAAAGAAGGCATAAATTATCAGAACGGAGGGACTCAGTTTAAATATTTGAAATAATAATAATCGTTTGTTTTTTAAAGCGTTTACAGTACTCGTCCTACTTTTTACTCGTTCTGCTCGTTTTACAGTGTAGTGTAGATAATTAAGATTTTACAATCTGTTGACCATGTGTATCATTATTCACGATGCTATACTTTTTCTTTATCAGTGTTATACTTTGACTCATTAAAACGACCAAGTATACGTAAATTTTTTTCTTGAAAATAATAAAATTATATTATCCTGGAAAAATTTCCCTGCCCTCACGACTGAAAGTTATGAGAAGTTTATTTTTACAGTAAATGCAAAAAAATTTATTTACATTGCAGCAAATAAGTGAAGATTTGGGTTATTCTGAAATATATTCAAAATCTATATTTGAAGATAATTATCAAGATATATCGATCAAATTCTTTATCCAGAACATGATATTCTCGTTCGCTGGTTTTAATCGGACAAGCGTAAATGCGGTAAGAAAAACTCGATTGATCTTCTCTTATATTTTTTTATAAAAAAAAAAAAAAGATGGAACATCATTAAAAGATTTAATAAAATTATTATTTGGATAAATTATTCCAGCGTTTTAAAAAGAATAAAGTTAAACTTTTCACGTGAATATGAATTAAAAAATTAATGATTAATTGATTTAAATTGAATTTTGGAAAAAATTTCCAAAATTTATTTTTATCTTTTACACATTACAGAATAATTTTCAAATTAATATGAATTAAATTGTATATTTTAAGTTATTATATTAAAAAAAAAAAAAAACAAATTTGTACGTTTATATAATATATTTTTCAAATTTAGACAGATTTAGCATCGATTATGAATGACATTCCGGCAGGTGCTTCCTGGAAAGAATTAGTTCATTTTAGTCAAGGATACATATATCCAGGTAGATATTTATATAGTTATAAATAACGATAACGATAATTAAAAAATTAATAATTATTGATTTTAGGCAATTTTCGACAATTTGATTATGGTAACGACGAAAAAAATTATCGAATGTACAATTCTGTACAACCACCAGAATATAAATTGGACAAAATAATTGCACCAATTGCTTTTTTCAGCAGTGTCGATGATATAATTGCAACGAAACCGGTAATAAAATTATTTTATATAACAAACATTCATGATATATATATACGTAATTTAAATATTTATTATTTTTGAATAATATTTAAAAAAAAAGTTTCATTTCTTTTTTAGGATGTTAGTCTTTTGAAAACTAAACTTCATAATCTCGTATTTCATAAAGAAATATCTATTAAATCGTTCTCTCATTATGATTTTTTGTGGGCACCGTCTGCGATGTCAGTCGTATTTAAACCTACATTAGATTTATTGGTTCTTTATGACTAAACTACTTGATGAAGAAAGAAAAAAATGATATATTTTTAATAATTTTCGTTTTCGAAAATTTTTCAGAAAAAATTTTATTATTAATATTAAAAAATGTAATGTCAATGTTAATATGATATAATATTAAATATAAAAGTATCGAAAATAACAATAACCGAATGAGTTAACAATCAGAAAGATCAATTAGATTGAAAAAAAAAATATATATATATATAAAACTAAACATTGAAATATTTAATTTTAAAAATTTCGATTGTAATATATAACTCTAATATTTCTATTGTTATTTTCTTTAAAAGAATATAAATAAGTTCCATTTTTAAGATATTTTATTCATAATTCTCAAAAACTCAAATATTCAATATTATTTGAATAATATGAGTTAACAATGCACGATTTAAAATTATATTATTAAAATTTATTTATACAGTATATGCATGTTGGATAAATGATAACATTTAGATTCTACGAAAAGTAAGTTAATATTAATATAAGTTAAAAATCATATTAAGATATTGTCATAAATAATAACATTTCAATACAATTTAAAATAAGGGTTAATAAATTATTAGTGTTATTATTAAATATCGTTATAATTATCGTTATAAAAATGAAAGGAATTATTTAAATTGATTTATCAGCCATTCATTCAATATTCAATAATGAAAGAAATTAATTCACTTCTATTTATTTGTGTTTGATTTACTTATTTATATTTTTTGTTATAAACAAAGCGTACTATGCAAAACTTTCATTTTAATTTAAATTATATAATTAATTATTTGATCACTTTATCACTTAAAAACAAAATTTACTACACAATATCTGTTATTCTGATTATATAATTAATATTTTATAATCGACCATCAAATACTTTTCGAATGTTATTAATTCAGATTAATAATTACATCAGAGTACAAACTCGTTTTTTGGCCAAAAATGATTTCAGCACGATAGAAAACTGAGTTTTGAACAACAAGGCATACGTTGTAAAATTCCTCTCATAATATATACATATACATATATATTATAAATGATAACAAGCATTCTCTTTTCACTTTGAGCGCTAACAATAGAATATTTAAATAACATAGTTCTATAATTTTATTTTCATAGTCTTTATTTGCAGCAAAAGCCATCATTGTTTAATATATTTTTTTTTTTTTAATTCTTCGGAACTGCCGTATGGAACATTTTCTAACACACGAAAAAGAATTTTTGTTGTGAAACAAAATATTAACCAAATTATTAAAAAATTAATTATAGATAAAATATAAATAATTGCAATGTGAAAAGTAATAAGTAACAATTTTTATTTCTGATTAAACTTTGTTTCAACAACAAAATTGCAAAAAAAAATAATTTGCTATTAATTTGATTAATAATAATACAAAGTAATAATAATGATAATATTACCTTACAAAATAGTTACAATATTTAAAATGAAACACTTAAATGAAATATAATATCTTTTTAAATTATTTACATGCATAAATATATATACATTTAGTATACAGGGCGAGGCACTTAAAATATAAACAATAAAATTATATTATTAATAACGCTTATTACATCTCATTTCTCTTTATAAAATTAGCATTTATATATTGTTATACTTTAAATGTAAAAAAATGTAAAATGATAATTAAAAAAATTAAATTTATAATATTGAATAATTAATAAAATAATTAATACCAGTTATATAAACACGTAAAATTTGTTTTTATTTTACATAAAATATTAACCTTGAGATATATTTTGATTTTCATTGAATATGCAAATATATATTTAATGAAGTATACATTGTACATTTCATTATCATATGTAAGAAATTTTTGTTTTTAAAATTTTTATTGATATGTTTTATTTTTATGCGAATAGATATATATTTTTAAAATAATATAAATAGTATAAGTATAAATTTTATAGTAATAAAATTTGTTAAATCATTCAAGTTTATTAAAAAAAAAAAAAAAAAAAAAAGCAATTTGAATAATAGGATAAAATAGCGATAAAATATAATTTATAAGTATAATGATTATTAACATATTATTATAATAAATACTAAAGTAATACGCATTTTTCTATGATAAAAAATATTATTTACGAATAAAATATTGTTATTTAATTATACATACATTTAATTATAAAATAATATTTGGAATTATATTTGTTAAAATAGTTACTGTTCAATAATTAATTATATTAAAAATAATTTAAGCTTACTGAATTATTATAATTACATTTTAATATTAGTAAATAAAAATTATAAACTTAATATAAAAATATAAGTCATGCAAAAGATTATGAAATTTAAATTTATTTGTATTTTTATACTATTTAGAAAAAAAACTATTCAAGTAAAGTAAAACTATTCATTTTCTACATTCGTAACTTAATATGTGATTAAATAAAATAATTAGAATTTATAAAATTAAAATTTTAATAGTTAAAATCTACAGATGTGTTTTCCTAATTATTGCATTCTTTATTAAAAAAATATACATATATCATTAAATTATGTTAGTTAAAATCTACTTATAATATTATATCTTTTTCTTTTTTGAATTATATAAATCACTTGTTTAATTGAATATTTTAATCATTACAAAAAATAATCTGAATTATTTAATTATTAAAATTCTTATTAAGCGTTATTATACTATAAATAATTGATTTTTTAATTATATAATAAATAGATATCCATATGATATATATATGAAGACACTGATTACAATATTTGCAATATTGAAATAATATGGATAAAATATATGTTATTATTCTTAAAATAAACATAATGAAAGGTGATATTGCGAAAGAAGAATATTAGATGCAGAGATAATTTAATTTCGTTATAATAAATTCAGAAAAAACAAAGTAATATAATTGTTTTTGTTATATATCTATTATAGATATATCAATGATGAATTCCTTTAATTTAAATAAAAAATAAACATTATATTTTTAGAAATAAGAACAATTCACATTGTTCAACATAAAATTTTTATTTTAATTTAATTAATTCAATTTAATTATCTTAATTGAAATTTATAAGAATCAAAATGTCTCACTCTGCATAATATAGTATACATATCTGGCATGTTTGAATTTAAGAAAAATTATTAATTATTTTTGAAACGTTTTTTATATAACTTTTTTATATAATTTTTGTAATTTCATTTTCGTGTGTGTCCTTATTCTAAATTCCTTTTAGATTATCTTAATTTTTATATTAAATTTTCATAATCCTCTATTTTTTCCAAGATATTTTAACGTCTCTTTATATATATATATATATAATAATAATAATCACAGGAGCGAACAATTATCAGCAGTAAATAATTTTGGTATAATGTATAAATAAAAAAAAAAATTAAAAATAAAAAGTTAATCAATATATTAATAAAAAATGATTAAGTATTTTTAAAATATAAAGTAATAATGCAAAATTGCACAAAATCATTTATTAATTAAAAATTAATTTTATTTAGTTTTTAATCTTGTTTATTATATTTTACAAATGCGTTTTAAGAAGTGTTAACAAAATAGCAATACATATTGAATTTGTTCTCTTATGAAAGTGATAAATTGCAATAAATATAAAAAAAAAAATGGCAGTGGAAGACTTTTATTTTATATCATTATGAATATAGATTTATAAAAACAATATGTAATTTCTATTAAAAATATGGAAGTAATAAGTAGTAGAGATTGGAAAATTTAGAATTACTAATTTCATTTTAATTTAATGAAATTAGATTACTTAAAATGCAAAAAAATATTTATCATTTTGTGCAATTTTAACATTTTATGATATTAATTTTCATAATTTAAATAAATTATAGTAAAGTAACGAAATATAACGTTGTTCGCACATATATATTTCAATTAAAAGTAGACTAACAAATTAAATACGATATATAATTTTATTTGTAAGAAAAATCTTTATACCAAAGTCATTTACTGTATATCTTTCACATCCTTGACAAAAAAAAAATATCCGATAAAATGTATAATACTATATTGTGATGTGATTATAATTTCTTTTTTTTTTTTTTTAATTATAATATACATTGTGATCAACAGTTTCTTTTTAAAAGTTTTTCACTAATATATCATAGTTTTAAATTGTTCATATATATATTTATAAAAGAAAAAAAAATGTACAAAACAAAATTAGTTTTTTTAGAAACTGTATACCTACTTTTGCTATATATATATATATATATATACATATACATATACATATACATATACATATATATATATATTTAAAATACTATATATGTATAGTATTTTTTTCAAACGTAATTAATCTATAATATACAATATTTTTTTTTAAATAGATATAAGTTCGTTAGAAATATTTTGTTGCTATGGTTTTTTTAGTGAATACATTCATGCAAGCAATATAGTAGATCGTACAATGCTTGTAAATATTAATAGAACGACTGCGCAATGGAATGACATATTATCTACGAGAATAATCAAAGCAGTCAGGTACATTTTCCATTTTAATTAATTTCTCTTCTAAAAATAGCTGGAAATAATACCCATTAATACGTTTAAGTTGCAGCACCATGTGAAAGAAGAGTTCAACACGATTCATGTATAATATGTGGCGCAAATTAAATACTTTTTCGTCCAATACTTAATACAAGGATTCTGTAAACTTTAACACCGTTGCAGGTTACAAATCTTTTGCAATCTACAAAATTTATATTAACTATTGATTAGAGGCAATCTCGTAATATTAAATAAGCCTTATTTAGCTTAATTTAATGGAAGGCAAAACATTTGCTTTAAGAGTCCTTTCTTTGGACTTTCATCTTTCTCATCGTCATAATTGTGTTCATCATAGTTACTAATGATCTCATTATTATTGCTAAAGCCGTACGTCACGTCTGTGATACTTAGAGAACTGGAGCATATCGGATTTTCGTATCGAAATGGAAAAGGTGGTGATAACCGATATTCGTTATAATTATTGTCGTTCTCATTCTCTTCAGAATATGTCATTAAAAAAACATTGTTATGATAACCTCGATTTCTTGAGCTGATATTTAAAAGGGGATCGATTCGGAGTTTCGCAAATTTATCTTGTAATTCATACATATAACACGAATGTAATTGTTGCTGATTTTGAGTGTGACGTGGCACAATAACAAGCGGTTCTTGTCACACGCAGTCTTCCAAAGACATAAGTAACGGGTTCACATATTCGAAGCCCTCGAATTCACTTTGATCGATCTTGTCGATCACTCTCCTGGAAAATATTTATCGTTTTCGTAAATTACATAATTATTTTCTCAATTTTATTAGGGAAATATATTTATTTTATTTATATAGTTTAGGAAAAAAATAATTTAAAAAATTAAAGATTTAAAGAATTTTATAAATATAGTAGTAACTTATAATGAAAAACTTTAAATAAGATATTTCAAATTACTAACAATTTTTTCAGAAAAACTAAATAATTAAATTAAATTATTAAACTAGTTGACAAATCTTATATAAAGTAAATATAAGATTCATCTGAATTAAAATTAAAAATTAATATTTGTAGTAAATTTGTTTTACTTAAAAAAATTTAATAAAATTAAACTGTATATTGTGTATATTTTCAAGAAACAATTTGTATTTCAATAATTTTAAATTTAATTAAAAATAATTATTTAACATTTTATTTGTTTATTTAATCTTTTAAAATATAAAAATAAATTAATAAATTTTTTTAATAAAACTTACGGATCATCTGGTGTTAAATGTACTGGTTCATCTGTAAATTCTGGTGGGAAATTGGCTAAATCACGATCAGAATCTAATCTTGGTTTGTACGGTGGTGTTACTTGTTTTTGTTCCAACTGAAAATTTATTAATAATATTTAATAATACGAAATATATATCTTGGCTAATTAAAATATCTTTTTATCATATTAAATAATAATTATTCAATAAAATATAACAAAATACTTAAGCTTCTTATATGATATATTATATGATACTATAAGCTTCTATTAATGATAACAAGCAAAAAGATTCAATTTAATTTTTTTTAGTTACATTGCATATTACAAGAGCATTATAAGCATTAAATAACTTCTTACAATTCTTATCTCTTCTTATTATATCATTCATCAACTATGTATTTTATATTAAAATACATTCTAAATATTTTATATATAATTAGAGAAGAATTACCATTTCCCAATCTATGGCTTTGAAGAAGGGATGGGCAACAATATCAAGAAAAGCAGTTGGCCTCTTGCCACAACCTAATCTTTCATTTGGATCTTTGCAGAGGAAACCTTTAAGAACTGATGCTGCTTTGACCGATAATGATCTTGGTATACGAATTGTCTTTTGTAAAATAACTTGAAATAGATAATCTTCGGTATTTTGATCTGGATTTTCTGATGCGCCCGCGATATCGAACGGGCTACGACCTGCAAGCATTTCATACAGAAGTACACCAAGCGCCCACCAATCTACAGAGAAGCTATAATCTTCACCCCTCAATATTTCGGGTGCAATGTAATTCGGAGTGCCACAAAATGTGGCGGTTGTGTCACCCTCTCTAACGCCTTCCTTACACATTCCGTAATCGGTTAATTTTACGTGTCCTTCGTGATCAAGCAACACATTATCCAATTTTAAATCTCTGTATATGATACCTATACAAAAAATTATGAATCAATATATTTTCATTTTACTACGTATTTTTATCATTTTACGTTTGATAGAATAATTATCTTTCGTTCTTTTCAAAGATATTATTTCTTTTATTCTTTTACCTTTCTCGTGTAAAAAGTTTAAAGCAAGACTGATTTCAGCTGCATAAAATCGAGCATGCTCTTCAGGAAGACGGCGTTGTCTCTGCATATGGAACATCAAATCTCCGCCGCGTACGAACTCGATCACGAAGAACAGACGAGAAGGCGTCTGAAAGCATGAGTGAAGTCCCACAAGGAAAGGATGATTCGAGGCGGTTTCGAACACGTGTTTCTCCGTTTGAACCCAATCGATGTCCTCGTCGTCCGTTACCAAGGCTTTTTTAATTACTTTCATTGCATAAATCCTTTTTGTACGTTTTAATTCTACCATCAAAACTTTCGCGTAGGAACCACGACCGATTACCCTAATCAGTTCGAAATCATTTAACGAGTATTGCCTCTGCATATCATTTGAATTATCTGCATCGTTTAACGTATCCAGTGGCAATTCCTCCCTTTCTTCACTTCCCGTTCCTACAAAACATATTTTAATTTAGAACATCGATTTAATCATATTTTTAATTATATTTCATATTCAATCCAATATTTTTTGAATAACAAAAGTAACACAACACTATCGAATTTTATGATTCTCCTTTTTTATAATTAATTGATAATTTTTAATTTTTTTTTCTTTTTATAATTAATGGTTTATAAAAAGCAATTGATTAAATATTATTTTCTTTTCAAAATTTTTCGGATAAATATTCGAATGTTCTTACGATTTCGTGAATGCTCCTCGATAATTGCCGATTCTGAGATCTCATCCTCGAGATGAGCTACCGGGCTGCATTGGACAGAATCAAGCTGTTGTTGATCGCCGTTCCTGTCGATCGTTTGCGATTCTGTGCTTGGCATCTGTTGTTGTTGCTGTTGTTGTACACTCAAGCATGGCTTGCGCACCACCTTGTGGCATTTCTTGTGTACCAGAAGTTTGCATTGAATGCATTTGAACCCCTGCCGACCTAGCCCCCAAATCCGATCTTGGCAGAATGCGCAAAACGCTCGCTACGAAAGTTAGAGAAGAAATTAATTGTAGAAATAATTATTTATATTTATTCTTGAGAACTCGATCGTACGAAATCTTGAGAATAAGAATGAATTAAATTAATGTAATTGAAAATATAATCTTTGTCCTGTTTGAAAATAATCTATTATACTTGTTATCAATATATCAAAAATGATTAAATTAAAAATTATTATTTTCTAAATTCTTTTACGAATAATATATGAAAATTCTGGAAATTAAACATTACAATCAATATTACATGTGATAATTTAATAACCTAATAACGAATAACCTATTCATACAAATTTTACAATATTTAACACATTTAAGCTGTGCACAATTTTTAAATGCATTTTTTGTCGAAATATATATCTGGAAAATTTATTAATGAAAAATTTTCTCAAAATTTTAATCAAATTGAAGTAAGACTCTGTATTCGCCGTTTGGTTTAAAAAAAATTCTTATGTACAAAAAATACATATATAAATATCATAACATCGATTATCACATTTAAATTTTTATTATCACATTATATTTCGTTATTATATTATGCTATCCCATCATTATTTGTGTCATTGTGCAACATACTTGCTACGATACGAGAGTCTTACTGTATCCATATCCGAATTTTATTTGTACACAAAATATCTACAAATATTCTATCCTCGCCCACATAATATATAAATTACTCTTACTCTCATAAATTATTCTTCTTCTCTAAAAAAAAAAAAAAAAAAAAATTTAATATAACTTATAATAAAATAATAAGCTTACTATTTACACGTGAAGTTATCATCAACCAACTTCAACCAACAGTAACTTTCACATTCTTAAACCATTCACCTTTGAAAATGACCTACAATCATTCAAACAACACGAGCCTACAACATTCTCATTCATAAGCATTCAAGGGACGGATGATTGACGAAGAATTGTCATTCAATGAATAAATTACTACAAAATGATCGTGAACGTTCACTAGCCAGCAAGTTCCTTTGATCAGGAATCTATCCATCACGGGTAAGATGATGTTGTGTCTGGAACAACGGTGATATGACGTAACGTGCGTGATTGGCGCAAATATATGGAAAAAAAATAATACGTGATGAGCCAAAAAATGGGAACAAAGGAGAGAGAGAGAGAGAAGAGAGAGAGAGAGAGAACAAAAAAAGAAAGGAAAAGAAAAAACGTAAGGTAAGTTAGTTGGAGGACAATAACTTAGTAA